AAACAGGAGTGTTTGTGATTATCACTCTGCCCGACAGGCAAATGTCTCAGAAGAGACCCTGCCTAGTTTCTTGGACTCAGAGGAAGGTCACACACAAGATCTGCTAAGCAACTGGTCTGCTCTCATAATGGGATGTGCAAATAACCTTGGGAGACAGGAGGAAGAGCCACAGACTAGACAACAGTCAGATAAGAGGCAGCTGAGCCCACAGAAGGAATGGGAGTGTGGTAAGCATCTCCCTCCCTAGTTTCTTGGGCTGTAAAGGTGAGGGGAAAGAGATGTCCTTTCAGACTTGCAAGATTCTGTTACTGGAACCTTACAAGAAAAGTAGAGCCAGTACTTCTAAGTGTGCTTCTTATCTGGACTACCTTGCAAAGCTGACATCAAACGCATGCCCACAAGAAAAGAACAGTGGAAAGGTAGACACTACCCTGCAACCCTTGTCTGCTGGGGAAAAAAAACCTAAATAATAAAAATAGATTTTAAACGGGCAGACCCCAGCTGCAAAAGCATTGCTCACCTTGAAAGAAAATATATCCCCTGTTGCTGCTCTAATTTTCTTTTCACCCTAGCATTTTTCCCATAGATGCAGGGTCCGCTTTTTTGGATCAACTGAATGTTGATCCATTGGTTGCAACAGGAATTGACCGACCGACTTGTCGCCCGAGCCTGATGTCGTGGGCTGAGAGAGAGGGACGGGCCCAAAGTCCCCCAGCCGGCTTTCATGCCTCAGGTAGGACTAGAACTCACAATCTCCTGGTTTCTAGCCTGGAGCCTTCCCCACCCGACCAAGCTGACTTTCCTGCTGCTCTGATATACTGGACCATCAAAAGTGCACGTAGATTCAAGTTGGGGTGCAAAGGGACACCTTAGCAAAGTTTCATTGAAATGAGACCCTTGGTACAAACGTTTCCAAGTGCAAAGAAGGAACACCGCTTCTAAGACAGCTGGCCAGCTGCACATGTGACAGATGTAATTACAAAATAAATACAATTCCCTAATACCAAGAGTCCGTTCATAGTTAGGAGCTTTAGCAGAACCTGGATCTCTACTCCAGCCACAGGAAAAACCACTGACACCAAGATGTGTTGTGCGGGGGCTGTCCGCTCTGTCCTCCATTTGTGTGAAGGAATGGTTGGATGAAGGCCGCGCTCAAGGAGATAAGCGTTTCCTTAGCCCTCAACAGGAGCGTGGGAAGTTTCAGAAGATGAGACTGGCACCACCCTAAGGAATTCATGGTGTTGTGGCTTGCTGGGTTGGGGAACTTGGTTCACCCTGGGGGGGTTTTTGTCTTTGGGGGGGAG